AAACACTTTCTTTCAGTAAGGAACTGAAAGTATTCCAGTTATCGTTTGCTCGACCATGCAGTTCAGTCTCCCATGATATAGCTGCCGCTTCCCTCCTCATGAGAGAATAGTCCCCTTTCCAAATGTTTTTCTCCCACCTCTCGGGTTGGACGGGTTTGGAAAACAGTGAGTACTCGAAGTAGAGCGTGATGTGATCGCTTGACCCTAATGGCTGTCGGTCCTGCAGGTCTAACACGTTTTCCTCCTCTCGGGTAAAAATAAGGTCAAGGCAGTTCGACTGCTGCCCTTCCCTGACCCGTGTTCCAAAGGTAACATTCTGGCAGAGAAGTTTGTCCGTTGCCCATTGTAGTAGTTTATGATTAAAGCTGTCTTGCGGCCCTTGTGCAGTCCACGTTAGCCAATCGTTATTCGTTATTCTCCATTTCGCATTCTCCAGACCAAAAAAGACGAAATGTTTGGCGAGGCAACTTCAATCAGATGAGGGCAAACTTATCCGGTCTCGACTGGGGCTCGTTGTTTACGGGAAATGCCAACGATGACTGGTAGCTGTTTAAGAATGTCCTTCTGCAGCTTATCAACAACAACGGCCCACCGAATCGTGTAAGACTGAATAAACGCCCTGGGTGGCTAAAAAGGAACCTTAAGAAAGAAATCAACAGGAAGCACAAATTGTGGAGAAAATACTGCGTCACTGGGCAATTTGGATATTTCAACACCTACAAGACACAGAGGAACAAACTGAGGAACCTGATCATGAAAACGCGACGGGAATTCGAGAAGAACTTGTTACAAAAAGCAACGCAGAACCCAAAATTACTCTACCGTTACCTCCGACGAAGTACAAGGAACAGGCATCAAATTCCCTTAATAAGGACTACCGATGGCGATGAGATTGCTGATAGTAGGGATAAAGCTGTGTATTTTTCACAGTTTTTCCAATCAGTCTACACAAACGGGTCAAGGTTCATTCCTCCCTCCACAGAAGGACTGCCGACCCCAAGAGTCAGCGATATACTCTTCTCAGAAGGCATTGTCCGAAGAGAATAGGAGGCATTGAACGAATCGAAGTCACCAGGACCAGACGAAATTCCACCCAAGCTTCTGAAGGAACTTGCCAGTGAGCTCTCTGTGCCTTTGTCGATGCTCTTTCAAACGTCATTTGACACTGTAACACTTCCTATCGATTGGAAGCTGGGGCATATTACTCCGCTACACAAAGGAGGTAACAGGGCAGCGACGACACATTACAGGCCCATAAGCTTGACATACATTCTCTGCAAAGTGATGAAAAGGATCATAAAGAGTGAACTGATGCAATTCCTGGAAGTTCACGGCCTACTATCGAAATGCCAACATGAGTTCCGGAAAGGAAGATCCTGCACGACAAACTTGCTGCAATCTCTCCAGAGCTGGACCCAAGCTCTCGACGACAGGCACGAGGTCCACATAGCCTTCATCGACTTCCAGAAGGCGTTCGACACTGTGCCAAACCAGAGGCTCATACATAAACTTAAAAAAACAGGGATCAGTGGCAACTTCCTTAAATGGATTGAAAACTTCCTTGTGGATCGACACCAGGTTGTCTGCATCGGTCGGGGAAAATCAGACCCTGCTATGGTCGAGAGTGGTATCCCCCAGGGTTCAGTACTGGGACCCATTTTATTCCTTATCTACGTGGACGATGCTGCAAGAGCTTTAGACTGCGAAGTAGCAATGTTTGCTGACGGCATGAAGATATGGAGTGTAATTCGGGGTCCTGCCGACGAAAACAGACTGCAGATGAACCTGAATCGGTTGGAGGAGTGGTCAAACCGTTGGCTCCTGCGGTTCAACGTTGCCAAATGTAGCCTACTTCACCTAGGCCACACAGCCAGATCCGCCAGCACAAGAAACTACTTTCTGGGCGGTGCAGCCCTACAAGAGGTCAGAGCCCAAAAAGACCCCGGTGTGCTGACGACGAGTTTCCTAAAGCCCTCCGCCCACTGTTCGAGAGTGGCATAAACCGCAATGTCCGTACTGTACTCCATCAAGCGTGCGTTCATGGACTTTGACGAAGATGCTTTCTCAAAGACATTCGGAACATTCGTCCGGCCGCATTTAGAGTACGGCATACAAGCTTGGAGGCCGTGGGCGGTTGAGGATCAAAACTGCCTCGAAAGAGTCCAGAGGAGAGCCACGAAGATGGTTAGGGGTCAAAGCTCCTTGCCTTATGCAACTCGCCTAGTAAATCTGAACCTCTTTCCTTTGAGTTACAGGCAACTTCGCGGGGATCTCTTGCAAGCCTTCCGCATTGTAAAGGGTTTGGATTGCAGTCTGGCCTTCGAGGACTTCTTTGAATTTGCTACAACGATCAACCTCCGAGGTCACCCGTTAAAACTGCGCACTCAGCATGCAAGGTTAGATGTACGGAAGTTCTCCTTCTCGGTTCGGGTGGTCAAACCATGGAATGAGCTTCCCGCAGATGTTGTGATGTCACCATCTTTACAAAGTTTTAAGAAGAATCTGGACATATTTATGTTCCGAAATGACCAAGAGCGATGAGAAGTCGAGCTCACCCCCTGTAACTCCTTCTCATTTTGTGCCATCATTATGAGCGTGTTCGAACTATTTCAGCCCAGAACATCTATCTGTACACCACACATTTTTTACGTTGCAAATAGGGTACTCAAAGGCTTACGCCTATTTCCCTCAATAAACTGAACTGAACTGAAATGCTTGATTTTCAATAGAAGACGAGATTTGGAGAGTGATCTGCTCCACCGAGCTGTTAAAATTCTAAAATTGCTTAATATGTACCTGCAAAAGAGCACCCATAACAGCAATCCTACTCCTGCCATGAGGGATGATGACGGTTTGGAGATACTGGACGGTACAAATGAAGTTGAGCATTTCCCCAGTTCCTCCAATCTGTTTTCACAACAGGAGCAGTTTTTACTCCACCTAATTCTGAGAACATGGGGGATCCCACTATTGAAAATATTGCGGTTTGGGAAGAAGCGATTTTGTCGGAACTAAAAAATCTGAAGATGAGGCCCCGACGGGTCTTTAATAAAAAATTATTTACTTATTTATTGATATAAATCTCTCGGTCCGGACGAGATCCCAGCAAAGCTGCTCATTGAGCTTGCCCGACAGCTGACCAGATCACTATCCTTTCTGTACCTGGAATCGTTGGATGCTGAAATCCTTCCTACATACTGGAAAGCGGCCCACGTTACACCGCTAGTCGTGCTCTTGCGACGAACTACAGACCCGTCCGTCTGATATCAATCTGCTGCAAAGTGATGGAGAAAACTATAAAAAGGAGCTTTTGGCTTATTTGGGGATCAACAACCTCTTGTCCAATGCACAATACGGTTTCCGTAGGGGAAGATCGTGTGTAACGAACCTGCTATATACAATGCACTGCTGGACATAAGCGCTTGATCAAAACGTAATAGTTCGTCCGTCGTCGTCGGGCATGCCCCCCGTGTACTCCGCAGCTTGTTGCTGCAGTTACGGTGACTAGCTCCTGGATTAGTTCATGGTGACACCAGACTTGCAAAGTATCTACCGCACTGTCTCCTCCTGCCACACCTGGTCCCGGTGTCAAGACCTAGTCACGAAGCCCGGAGGTGTGGGAGCACGTAGGTAGATGGTACGATCGAACCCACACATTTGGCACCCCACTCCCTGTCCATACAGCAAATAACCAGGATTTTAACTAACAACAAAAAGGTGGCTGGCACGGCCGCGGCCGCACCTAGGCCTGCCCTCATTCCTGGCTTGGATCCCACGGATTTGGAGTGCTATAAATGTCACATTACTTAAGAGCCATTGCAGCCTGAATTTTAGATCACCAGGCGGCCGCACACCACTGGGCTAACTGCGAGGTGTAAGTTATCCCGTCCGTTGGCAACCTTCCAAGTTATGGCTTTAAGCGCATCGGGATGGCTTCAGGCGCGTCAGACTTTTTATAATTAGGAAAATGCTCTGAGTCCTCGGTCACACTTCCCCTCCCATTCCTAGGTCTCACTTACTGTATAGAATAGGTTTATTGTAGCGCCCCTTGGGCACTGTCAGTCCCCTTTCAACTCAGGAAAAAAACCTAAAACAAACTCGTCAATTTCAAATGCACTTTGACCTCATTTGCGTCTCACTTACTGTCCCAGCCGACCACTTGACAGGTGCGGGGAGCGGACTCATTGGTTGACGTATCTAATGACCTTGTCTGAGTGCGCCACGTGCACGACCTGGCCCCCGAAACACAAACACCAGGATTTCACAAAAGGGGGGCTGGACGGCGTGCATCTCACATGCGTGAGGATGTCTTAGATCACGTCTAGAAGTGGCTGTTTCGGCCTGGCTCTCAGCCAACCAGTCTGCCACTCCACACAAAAACACACAACTGGGCAGGCTACATGGACTGATGTGGGGCGTCAGTCAACGTCTTTTCAAATCCCAGTGCTTGACGCGCAGTCGTGGCCTCAGACTCAAACCACACATGCGGCAAAGAAACGACATGGAAACGCAGACGAGACGCACACCTTCTACTTATGTGGGAGGTGGAAATTGAATGCTTATGATGGATGATGTTACGTGATGCAGGTGGAGGAAGATGTAATGATGTGGCGTAGACAACGATTGTCTGCCACAGGTTTTCATGAATGCGAATGCGGCCTAATAACCCCATGCGGTGAGTAAATTTGCGGATGCAGTGAAGACAGTTGCGACGGACGCGGCGAGTGTTTGTGAGTGCTGCAGGCACTGGGTAGCCAGTCTCTTTGCGATGGATTCGCAAGTGACCGACCAGGCCAATGTGTGGTGTGAATGTACGGGGACAGTGTAGACAGGAGACATCGGCGGTATCAGTGTCGATTCCGGAGATGATGGCAATGCCGGGGCTGCTGATGTTCGACGGGTTGGGCGGCGGGGTGTGCGTTGGGCTAGGCATTGGGAGTGTGCAAGATGTGTTCAGTGTAGTGGAACTGATGAGGTTGGGCAATGAGGTCTTTGTTAAGCTAGGCATGACGGATGTGCAGGATGGTGCTAAGTGTGTCAAGACTGGGGTCAATTTCGCCCACGTGGATACGCATGTGACCGACAAGACCTATGCGGTGAGCGGGTGTGCGGGGGCAGAGTGGACAATAGGGACGATAGCGGTGATTGTAGCTTGATACACCGGGCACTGGTTCGCCAGTCTCTGTGCGATGGATCCGCAAGTAACCGACTAGGTCGACGTGTGAGGTGAAGATGCGGCCGCAATGAGGACAGGTATGGATCGAGTCCACATCGCTGGAGTTATTGGTATGGCAGAATTGTGTGCAGTGGTAGTGGATACAGTAGTCATCATCGTGGATTTTGAGGGAGTGAAGGGGTGGAAAAGGTGGTGTAGGAGAGGGAGGAGAAGGAGGATGGTAAAGGGAGTTTGGGAGAGTGGACGGTGTTAGTTGTCGGAATGGAGGATGAAGCATGATTTTCCACAGCACTTCGCGATTTACCGCGTCGAAGGCTTTCGTTAGATCCATGAAGGTAGAGTAGAGGTGGGTCCGCATCTCCTGAAACTTCTGCTGCAGTTGATGGACTGTAAAGATCATGTCGGCGGTTCCACGATGACGGTGGAAGCTGCGCTGGTTTTCCGAGAGGAGGCCCTGTTCAAGATTATTGTTTAGCCGGTTGAAAATAATGCGTGTGGAGATCTTCCCGGAAATATTCAGCAAGGAAATGCCTCGATGCTTGTTGCAAAGTCGGCAGTTTCCTTTTCGGTCGTAGAGATGGTCGATTGTGGTATCCCTGAAATACTACGGGATTTCTTATTGACGCCACATCTCCTGGTGGAGCGCAGTCAGGTGATCCATGAGCTGGGGGTCATCGTGCTTGTAGATCTCAGCAGGGATCGCGTCAGATCCGGGCGCTAACTCGCTGTAGAGCCGCAGCACGACCCTGATGGTTTCGTGGAGAGAGAACGAGAGGTCGAGGTCGACGTTGGTATCAACTTGAAGCAGAAGGCCGATGGCGGCGCCGAAGATAGTGGGGGGACGGTCGACGACGCCTCGGAAATGCTCGACTCATCGCTGTATTATTTCTGTCTTCTTGGTCAGGAGGATACTGCCATCGGCACTGAGGAGAGGAGCGATTCCTTTGGTTGGCGAGCCCTAGACAGTCTTGATCGCAAAGAAGAAGTTCTGTCATTCGTTTCAGTCCGCATATCCTTGGATCTCCTCAGCCTTTCGAGCCGTCCAAGCATCCTGCATCTCGCGCAGCCGCTGTTGCACAGGGCGGCCACTACGGTAAAAGGCTGCTCTGCTGTCCTCGGTGGGGGACGATTGATATCGGCTTTGCGCAGTCGGTTCTTATCTATGAGCAGGTTGCTGATGGTGGAGCCGTTGTCATCGAACCCGTCCTGGTGGAGCCGTTGTCATCGAACCCGTCCTGGTGTAGCCTACATCGATTTCCGGAAGTCGTTCGACAGCGTTGCGCGCCGGTGTCTCATTTGAAAGTTGATAGTCATGGGCACCGGAAGCAAACTTCTCAAATGGATCAAGAATTTCCTCGTCGGCCGCCTCCAAATTGTCTGCACGGAGCAACAGCAATCAGAGCGTACAGTCATAGAGAACGAAATCCAACAAGGTTCACTTCTCGGACCGGCCTCTTTAACTTGTTCATTAATTTTTGCAAAAAGGGCTAGACTGTGATTGTGTCATGTTTTCGGATGTCTGGAAAGTCATCCAGAATGCTGCAACTTCCAAGAAAATCTTCGTCGATTGGATGAGTAGTCCTGCAAATGGTTCCTGCTCTTCTATTTTAACAAATGCACCATAATGCACCTCGGGAATCGAGATCAAGTCCATATTACGCGGAAATATTATAAATAAATTTTAATTTAATGCCAGTTTACAGGCATTGTCAAGGGAAGCGATTAAACACAAATCCGACCAGCAGTGAAAAAAAAAACTCCTGAGCTTAAGGCATAAAAATATAGTTGATGGTGGTTTTTGTGGTTTGGAGGGCTCAGGAGAAAAAA